GTGTACACGAGAGAAAATTTTAAAAATTATCATAGAATTTTGTAACTAAGAAACATGTGGATTATATGGACATATATATTAAATTCTTAACGAACTTTATATTTTTAATCGACGTTGAATATTTTTTCCTTATGATTTTTTTTTTAACTTGTCATTTTGACCGTCTGGTAGAAATAGCTCGCTAATCATTGGCAATTACAGTATTAATTTCGTATCTTTCCGTCTCATATATGCTATTATCTTAGAAACCAAAATATATTATTAAAAAATTTACTATGGTCCTTAGCAAAGTATACCATGCACTTAAAAAGATAAACTCTATTAACAGTCTGTCCCTGTATTACTAGGAAACATGATAAAAATGAAGAGAATTCATATAAACAAATAATTATACAAATATCCTTTTCGTATAGGATGTGATTTCAAAGTTACACGATTTTTGACATTTTTATTTTCCTGCTCTAATACGGAAAATGACCGTTACATAAAGTTATGTGATAGAATGAGAAAATTAGACCGAAATTCAACATTCGGCCAAACTTCCACATTTCACTTTACTTTATTTGTAATTGTACAATTTAGGAGCCTGTGCAAGTTATGCTTCGGAAAAATTGAATTTCCAAATTTATATTCCTATACGCGTCTCTCTCCCCCTCCCCCTCTCTCATTCTTTCTGCCTCTCTGTCCCACTTTCTCTCACATACAGAAATATCAGCCAAAGCATGCCAAAGCATTCCTAAACAAGTTAAACTCGATAGTGAAGAAATAATTAATTTAATTATCCGCGTAAATTAATTTGCGCGACGAATACTCGGCGACCTCGTTCCTTCCGTATATCGACGGAAAAGTCGAGTGCCATTTCATTAAGTCTCGGCATCATCCGAGACTTTATTATTAAGATTTCTGATTTTATACAAAGCTAATAAGGTTTAAAGTTTCCAGGATGAAGATGTTTGCGATGTTTAGCTTGCGCTCAGCAAAAAGGCGATATTTTATATTTTTACTATTATAAACTGCAGAAAGAAAGAAAGAGAAAGAGAGAGAGAGAGAGAGAAGGAGTGTCTTTTCGCGAGCAGAAGCTTTAATATTGTAAGGTTTCTAACGACTAACTTGATATTCGTGCGACTTGAGCGGAATGGTAATAGCATCTCCCGCAGGTGCACTTAATGACGTTCTCCCGAAGCTATCGATTCCCGCTAGTGCATCGAAAGCTCCAAAAAAAAGGCATATAGCACCTAGCATATATAGCGTGTGGATAACCTTGTTCCATTGAAATAACGGGTCTCGAACACGACGATTTAATTCATAACGACCACTTAATGCACCCTGCGTGCAACTCTAAGCCAGCATGACTTTGACAACCTTATATATCGTGTGCCCGATAAGTGTCGGTAAATCCACGTCGCGTATCGGGCAACGTTATTCTCTCCACTTTACCGCGTCGTTTCTCTCTTTCCTTTTTTTCTTTTCATCAACGAATATTGCTTCGATCCTCGACGAGGATGCGCTCGAGTCCGCTCGAATTCGAGCATCGGCCGAATCTTCGAGTGTGTGCAATTCTGCGCAATCCTGTTTACCCGGCTTAACTCATTTTGCGCGACACTCCACCCGCCTCTACGTAACAGAAACTTACGAGCACGCAGCGGGCGTAAAAAGTAGTCCGCTAATTACCCCGCCCGCAGCTAATCTCGTGGGATAGCAATTACAAGCCTTGGACGCGACCGTTTAAATTATGACCGGCACTTAATGCACTCCGTATGTAACTATATAAGCCAGTGGAGCGACTCGACAACTTCGTGAAGGCAGCGTGCCAGGAACTCGTAATTGTTTCGAATCAACGATACTTTAGGCTTTTCGCCCGGAGCCGACGTAACGCGTCTCTCGCTCCGCAAGAATCGCAGTTCCGAGCGTAACGTTATTTTCTTTTCCTTTCTTTTTTTTTTCCACCCAGGCGATATTTCGCAATAAAAAGGGGAAAACAAGAGAGAAAAGCCGGAAAAGGGAGCTATTAAATGTTCCCCTTTCTCCGCCGCCCCGGGTTTGTTGCGAATGTAACCGTTCTTGTCGCTGCGACATGCTCGCGCAAGGAGAATATTGATGGGAGGGGGGGGGGGGGG